AGGTTTCCTCCACATTACGCATGTCCTCGTGTAACTATAAGAAACGCGTGTGCTGAAGAGTTAAAACTTTTTGAATCACTGTCTTTTTTACCCCTCAGATGACATCAACTAGAAAACGAATATACCAGGAAGAGTTCCTCAATTATGGGTTTACACAAATAGAAGACAAAGGAATAATGAAACCACAGTGTGTTGTCTGTTTGAAAGTACTGACTGCAGAATCTTTCAAAAAGAGTCAATTGAAGAAACACTTGAATAATTTGCACCCACACCTGTCTTCCAAACCGCGGGAATACTTTGTAAATTTGGAAATGTCTGTCAAAAAACAAAGACTGAACAGCAACTTGAGAAGTACATTCGATCAACTTTCAGCATCAAAGGCCAGCTTTGAAGTGGCCTGGTTGATTGCCCGAAACAAGAAACCACATACTATTGGTGAGCAATTGGTTAAACCAGCAGCTTTGAAAATGGCAGAGATTATGTGTGGTCAGAAAGAAGCTGCGAAACTAAATTCAGTGCCCTTGTCTGCAAAAGTTGTGAAAGAAAGAATTTCTATTTTAGCAGAAAATGTGAGGGAACAAGTTATTTCTTCAATAAAAGAGAGTAAATGCTTTGCTATTCAGCTTGATGAAACTACAGATGTCAGTAGTAATTCGCAGCTGATGGTGTATGTTCGCTACAAAGGTTTACATGCAATTGAAGAGGAGGAGTTGTTTTGTTCTCCCCTCGAGTTGCGATCTCGTGGAATTGATGTCTTCAATAAAATTAATGAATACTTTAATAACGCTAATTTAAAGTGGGAAGACTGCATTGCTTTGTCTGTTGATGGAGCTCCAGCTATGTTGGGTCATGTTAGTGGTTTTTCGGCTTTGGCGAGAGAGAAAAATCCAAAAATTGAAGTTAACCACTGTATGATCCATCGCCAGGCACTGCTTGTGAAACGTTTGGAACCTGCACTGGAAGCCGTCATGCATGATGTTATCAACGTTGTCAATGTCGTCAAAGGACATGCACTAAACACGCGACTATTTCGTGAATTATGTACAGATGGGGAGGCTGAATATACAGACCTACTTTATCATACAGAAGTGAGGTGGCTGTCACGTGGAAATGTTCTGAACCGAGTGTGGGTTCTCAAAACTGAACTTGAAATTTTTATGGTTGATCAAAAGCATGTTCTCGCAGATAAGTTTACAAACTCCTCGTGGGTTGCACATCTCGCATATTTAGCTGACATTTTTGAGTATGTGAATGCATTGAACAAAGAATTGCAAGGAAAAAACATCAATATAATTTCAGCCAGAGAAAAGATTTCAGCGTTTGGATCAAAGCTTTTATATTGGAGACAGAAAGCAGAACAAAACAAGATTGCTGCCTTTTCAAGGTTGGCTTTGTTTTTGGAAGATTGTGAAAATATTACTTTTGACGACATCAAGGACACAGTTATAAGGCATCTTACCAAACTCAAAAAGCGGTTCGATGATTACTTTCCAGATCTCGATTCACATAATGTCAGTTGGGTTGTAGATCCCTTTAAATGTGAAATTGCTGGTGTACCAGAAGAGCCTCAAGGTTTGGCAGAGGCACTTCTTGAACTTCGATCCAATAATGAAGCACGTATTGAATTTGAAAACAAAGCAGATCTGTCATATTTTTGGATGTCAAGAGCTGCAAATGCTTTCAAAATTGCACATGAGGAGGCAGTCAAAAAGTTGCTGCCCTTTGCAACAACCTACCTTTGCGAACAAGGATTTTCCACTCTACTGAACATAAAAACAAAGCAGAGAAATCGATTGGACCCCGAAGACAGTATGCAAATTGCTCTGACATCAAAATGTCCCAATTTTGATGTTATTGTATCAAAAATGAAACATCATTTCTCCAAAACCTGAAGTGAAAAAAATTTTCTAAGAAAACCTTTTGTTTCATAATGAGGATATTAATTTACTCGTATTTTATCGCATTTATTTTATACTTTTTATATTTATAATTGTATTCTCCACATAAATAGATTCAATAAACCTTTTGAATTTGAATAATCTATGATTTTCTCTCTTTCAAATCAAGGGGGTAATGTCAGCGTAAATAAATATATTTTGGGGTAATAAGTAAAAAAGTTCCCCCACCCCTGGTATAGGCAGACACTGTGGTAAGACCTGGCACTCAAAGTTGGGGCATGCCCATAGTTGATTATTGACTTTGGTAGAACTTTGTATGCCAGTCTTTTACTATTGCTTTGGACACACTTCCATGTACTTAGTGCATCATCTGGTAAGTCTCCACAGGTTGCACACAGCTGTGGAATCTGTCTTAGTGCCTGAGTTTGCACAAGTTAGTGAGTTCATCAACTATGCTGAAGCTGCGTGACTCACTGACTTTGCTACACTGGTAATGGATTCATGAGGTGTGTGAAAGGTGCTTGCTGGCGAGTCTTTGTAGAGTTTTAACTCATAAGTACACGTAATTATTAACAGTTTCAGTGATTCACACACTCTACAGATCATGGTGAGCATGGAGGCCAGGAAATGGTCCACCTCTGCCTATCCACTGACCAGGAAACTTTTGATTCAGGTACTCGTGGGGAGTGAGACTGAAATGTGTGGGAGCACCATCCTGCATGAAGTGCAGTTCTTGCTGAATGAGCAGTGGCACATTGGCCAAGAAATCAAGCGTGTTGTTTTCAAAAAATTGCTTTTTAATTCCTCCCTGTAAGCCTGTTTAGAAGAGCATGGGTTCTGATTAAATTATGACCACAAGTATCGTCCCAGATGTTGATGGAGAACTGCTGTTGGTGATGTGATGGAAGAATCACATGTGGATATTCATCTGCCCACAGATGCTGATTGTGAAAATTCTGGATGCCATCTCTTATAAACTGTGCATCATCCATAAATATCACAAAGGCATGGAAGTTAGGATTTTTACCACGCTGTTGTAAGAACCACCGGCAGAACATTATTTGCACGAGATAGTCTTGTAATGACAATGTGTGTACATGCTGCCGATTGTAAGGACACAGCTGCTCTTGTTGCAACACTCTCCAGACAGTCGAATGACGACACCAGCTTACACTTATACCTGTCATGTGCTGATTCCAGGAGTTTCATTCACAACATCCAGAATATCCTTGTCATAGACCTTGATTATCGTCTGTTGACAACGCGAGGTGCAAAAGTCCTATGTTCACAAAAGCAGTGATGGATACTTTGATATGTTTTCCTATCTGGACATCTTTTTCCTGGATACCTTTGTTGGCATGAGTGACAGGCCACTAAAGCATTACCGTCTGCCAAACCAACCAAGAAATGCATGTTGGCTAGCTCTTGATTTGAGAACATCATCTCAACAATTTGCAATCACTACACACTTAACACAGAATTACTGTACACTGTCGCACTGATACCACGGCTGTAATAATGTAGTGGATGACAGGAGTTAACAAAATTCAGTTTATCGTTCAGCGGTTTTAGAGAGCCTAACTCGGAAACCATGCATTTCTGGACTTTTGTTGATATAAACTATTTTTATTACCTACATATGATGAACTCATTCCTGAGTCAAGTCAAGTCAGGTCAAAGTCAAAGTCACATTGCAACTGGCAGTCAGTCAGTCTGTCTGTCTGTCTTGGTGTCAAGCCCCAGCTGGGGCTCATGATCATTCCTGAGGTTATGCCATTTATTTTTTAAACACCATTTTCACTAGTTCCTCTATTGTTGTGTGTTGATTTGTTGCTGTGGAAACATGTTTACGGTGGCATTATCTCGCAACGGCTGTCGCTACTTTCTCCACTGTTACACCTTTCAGCTGTCATGTCACAGTATGTTTTTATAGCTAAAGTAAAAAGTCATTGTGAATAGGCTCACACTTACTGGTATCATAGCATGAGGTGACAGGACCCATTTTGTTTACTTCTGATCAAGTTTAATTTTATAGTTGTCATCGTACCGATCTTAAATTCATGTTATACTGGACAGAACAGAAAACACAGGGAAGAGCATACTACAAATAAGACAAATTGACAGCCAGGACACCACATTAAGCAACATTGTGATAGGTTAGAGTCAGATGGGGGTGATCACATGATTTGACTTCGCTGTCCTGCTCTATGATGCACCAGTAGGATGAGACATCATGTGACTGACTGGTGTGTTTATTTGTATATACATCAGGTTTGTATGGTCATTCACCACATCGACCCTGGTGATGGAGATGGAGGATATCTCTTGAAACGTTGGTTTCAAGCTCATTGTTGACACAGCTGATTGCTGTAAGAAAATTTTAGGACATTTATTTGTCATGAAAGCTTCAAATCTTGCTTTCTGTTCCCATCCTTACAGGTAGGGGTGTAAGTCTGCATTAATGTTTCTGAGCCAGGAAATTGTGGTTTAGATGGATTAGGGGTTTCAATAAGCTGAGGCAAAGTTGTCCCTGTGCTTAATTAATTAAACACCATGCCATGAAGATGTATGGGGGAGTAGAGTTGTAGCTCCAGTATTATTGACCTCAGCACTAGATAGAGGTGTGTGGTCAGCTTCACACTCTGCTTTACCCATGGTGAAAGAGCCCCTGGTACCCATTGGGTAGGAGGCTGGTTGGGCCTCAGACCTAGCCTGGATGCCGTTGAGAGGAGAAAGCTCTTGCTTCTGCCAGGAATCAAACCCCAGCTATCCCAACCTGTAGTCAGTCACTTTACTGACCTAGCTATCTCAGTTTAGGGTTGTATTGTGGAGTATAATGGGATAAAATGTTCAGTGCCTTATAGTGCAAACGTAACTTAAAGTTTAGTGTACATTGTACAGTGAAAGTTTGATCTACAGTATAAAAGATTATTAATGTCATCCACTGTGATTGATAAATGTTGTTTTTTAATCTTTCATTTATCAGTCGCCCTGGACAGTGTTAATAATCTTTTATACTGTTACTAGTGTGACAGACCAGGATGCACCAAGTCAATTTGATCTACAGCTTTGTTTTTTTTTTTCTCTCTTTCTTTGTTTCAGGAGGCTGTGAATCTTGAAACCACAGATGTAGCAAGTAAAGCAGCTGAGGCAACAGAAACTTCAAATGTAAGCCGGATTTCCTTCAGTTATGTCTCATTTTTGTTGTATTGTTGGCCAGTGTTTCTCAACAGGTGGGCCATCATGATGGATTGCATGGATGGCAACATGTCTGAAACAGTAATTCAGTCACACAAAGTTCAGGCATACAGAAACCTTCCTGCATTGCAGGAAGGTTTTACTTTGTACTGTTGAATATTTTGCTGTAATGTATCTTAAAAATGGTCATGGAAGATTGCTCGTTGCTGCTGTTTATGAAATTATATTGTTTTTATCCTTTATACTGTTCCTTCTGCACAGTCAGCACTCATGTTCTCTAGGCCTGCATACCTCTTGTTTGTTACACTTGTCAGTCCTTCCACTATATCTTTCCTCTGAAAACTGACCCATGGCTTTGATTGGTCCTCTAGCCTTTCGCTTTTTTCCTTAGTCCTGTTGGTTATATTAGGGCTCCTAACACACTTGATATCACATGGTAGTGTAGTTGGTTGAGGCACTGTGCTACAAGTTGGAAGGTTGTGGGTTTGATTCCCAATGAGGTCATTGGGTTTTTCAATTGTCCTGATCCTTGCAGCTGCACTATAGCCCTGGGGTCAACTCAGCTCCTAACAGAAATGAGTACCAGGAATCTTCCTGGGGGTAAATGGCCGGTGTGTGAGGCTGACAACCTCATCACCATCTGTGAGCCGATTGTCTATAAAATATGGGAGCCTTGACGTCTCACAACCCTATAGACCTTCACAGCTTGATACAGGGAGAGCTTTACCTTTGCCTTTGTTCCAGTTCTTGTATGACTTCCTTTGCTTTCTAATCTTACTTTGCTGCTCTGAAGATTGAGCTGGACACTCCTTGAATACCTCAGTAAACTGCTACGAGACTGCACACTGTTACATCCCAAAAGATAGTACCATTCATAGTCACTGCCACCAGAACCTGAAATCTCATGAAGTATGGAGAATTTGTGTTGATCTGGCTGTAGACAAAGTGGCATCTACACCCCTGGACATACAAGGGGGGACCCAAAAATAACCGGAATTTATTTTTGTTATTTTTTATTTTTGCATTTTTATTGAACTGTATATTAGTCCCCTTCAAAGTATTGTCCATGTGCATTAATGCACTTGTCCCAACGCTTTTGCCACTGCTCAAAACAGTGCTGGAATTCTTGAGGCTGGATACTGTTCAAAGCCTTTAGCGTGTTTTCTTTGACTTCATCCACATTACGGAATCGCTTTCCTTTCAGACTTCTCTTCATCCGTGGAAACAAAAAAAAGTCCGACAGAGCCAGGTCGGGTGAGTAAGGTGGATGAGGCACAATCACCGTGTTGTTGCTTGTCAAAAACTGTCGGACCGTCAAAGCTGTGTGGGCTGGAGCATTGTCGTGGTGAAGCAACCAGTTCCCATTTCTCCACATTTCGGACCGTTTTCGTCGCACACTCTCTCGTAATCTTCGTAACACATCCAGGTAAAAATGTTGGTTCACTGTTTGTCCTGGCGGAATGAACTCTTTGGCGGAACTCGTGGTGAAGTTGGAGTTTTCCACTGGCTTGATGATTGCTTTGATTCTTGATCGTACCCGTAGCACCAAGACTCATCGCCAGTCACAATTCTTTTAAGAAATTCTGGATCGTTCTGCACTTCACTCTTCAAGTCGCGGCAAACATTCACGCGGTTTTCTCTTTGGTCATCTCCGAGCAAGCGAGGAACAAATTTTGCAGACACCCGTCTCATGTGCAAACCTTCGGTTAAAATTCGCTGGACCGTGCTCCATGAGATGTTCGTTTCCTCAGAAAGTTGGTCAATGGTCTTTCGACGATCTTCATCAATTGCACGTTTGATTTTGGCAATGTTTTCATCATTTCTTCCTGTTGAAGGACACCCAGGGCGTGGCATGTCTTCTGTTGACATGTTGCCAGATTTGAAACGGGAAAACCACTCGTAGACCTGTGATTTCCCCAAAGCATCATCATTAAAGGCTTGCCGAAGCATCCCAACAGTCTTGGCTGTAGTTTTCCCTAACAGAAAGCAAAATTTCACGCACACTCTTTGTTCCTTCTGGTCGGCCATCTCACTAATCGCCAAAGGGTTGAAACAGGAACGCACACAACAGAGCACCACAGACAAACCACTTAACTCAGACTGACGCCAGCTCACTAACAGTCACGGGAGACCCCCAGCTAACACCACCTAGCAGCACAACTTGTAACTACAAAGCATGCGCGCGCAACAGGTCAGTTCCGGTTATTTTTGGGTCCCCCCTCGTATCTGTGAGTTATGATGGGATGTGACATACACATGCTCGCATACCAGTCTGTGGTGTTGGTTGTGTCATCATCAAGCTTACTGTCTGTATCATAGATGCTGAAGCCAGATAAATGAAGTAACGTTGATCACAGTAGCCATGCAGTCTAAGGCATGAACTTTCTTCGCTCATTCAAATTCTGGGATTGTGAATTCGAATCCCACTCAAAGCATGGATGCTTGCATATGCATTTATTCTGTTTGTGTTGTCCTGTGTGTAGATAGCAGCCTTGCAATGTTCTGATCACTTGTCCAAGGAGTCCTACTGTCTGTAAAAAAGATTACAAAACTGAAGTAGAGGCCAGAGCTCAACAAAGGGCTGTAGAGCCATTGATGAATGAATGAAATGAAGTAGTGAATGATTCAGCAATACATCTGGGCTTCTGTGATGGAGTTCCATGTTTCAGCACTTGATGTGGATTACTCTAGCTTTTCTGGTACCCCAGAAATAGCAGCAGCAGTTATGTCATGGCAACACTCTAAAACATTCAGTTTTAGTCACAGTGCCATGCTGTCAGTGATGCAAAATCACACATGCAATAAGTCTCTCACATGTTTTTCTTGCAGTGCACTTATCAGTTAAACCTGGGACAACAACTCTGTTGGAAACTACTTGATTTATTTATATTTCTTTGTCTCACCCTTAAATTTTGTATCCTTAATGTATACTGCTTTGTCTCTTTTTGAATGTTGCTTCACTTAATAGGAACGGGAAGCTATAACAAAAACAAAGAGGAAAGTTGTGTAAGATTTGAGGTTTTCACGACATTCTTCGGAGATGAATATTGATATGAGTGTGACTTAATGTGGGAACTGCCCACATTCAAGCAAGTGTGACAACGCAAGCGTCATTGCTTAGCAACAACGAGTAAACAACGGTTGCTAGGCACAATATACACAGACGGATAACAATAGTGAACTGCTCGAACACTGAACTGGTATTGAAGAACGGTAGAACTAGACTGTCACTGTAACTCAGTGTATCTTCTTATGTAGCCTAGAATCGGACATATAGAAAACGGTTGCGTAATAGGTACTGCTATTGCCGGTTACTGTGTTTATAAGTTCCCTAGCAACCGCTGTTTACTTGCTTCTGCCTAGCAACCGTTGTTTACTCGTCATTGCTAAGCAATGACGCTTGCGTTGTCACACTTGCTTGAATGTGGGCAGTTCCCACATTAAGTCACACTCATATCAATATTCATCTCTGAAGAATGTCGTGAAAACCTCAAATCTTACACAACTTTCCTCTTTGTTTTTGTTATAGCTTCCCGTTCCTATTAAGTGAAGCAACATTCACATTTTCACATTTCTGATTTATTATTATTACATTCTTCTATCTTTTGAGACCAGCTAATATTACCTGCTGTAAGCTTGCTGAGCCCTTCAGAGCTTCACCAAAACTTCTGTAGTCATTTTATCAAGGTTCCTATCAGACCTTGCAAGCTAGTATATGTGGTGGTGCCAGGAATTTTGCTCCTGCTTTACATCACCCTGTCCAGAAATCTTGTGCTTCAGACATAGCCTTTCCCACAATCAGCATGTTGGGTTGAATTTTTGGAGTGTTATTCTCATTGTAATTAATAATTGTGGTATTTTTGCAGAATGTATCTGCTGTATGCACTTCTGCAGCAACAAATGGCACCTCAGAAATGTTGTTTACATCTGTCATTAAGAAAGACCATATCAGTGTAAGTTTTGTGTTTAATAGTCTCTGAGTTGAATGTAATGTTTAAACTCAACACAGAGGTTAACAGTAATGAATTTTGTTTATAGGAGGGTAGCCATAATGATAACATTAACACTGATGATATTGGTGACAAACCTAGCAAGAGTTTAACTGAGGCAGCAAGGGAGTATGAAGAAGCAAGAGCAGTGAAACGGAAATACGAACAAGTTACCATAGTCACCGGGGAAGAAGATGAGGCCAATGTACTGCAGGTAAATGTGAAGGCCTCATGAACTTATCTTTTAGATTAGTAGGTGACTTGAGACATAATTAATTTCTAATTAGAAAAGCTGAGCTAAATATTACCTATAGCCATGCAAGGTTTGGTTGTACGAGGGTAAGTCAGAAATTATCTGCAGTTCCTCCATAACACATCTTTAGGTTTGTGACACTGCCTCCTACACATGCATTGTTAGAGTTGGTACTACTGTGGTCACGTGATCGAAGTTTTACCTTGATCGCATCATTTTCCTTGATGCTGTGACAGTGTAAACATGGCCGCTCTGCTAGCAGTGTGCACCAATGATTAACAAAGAATAGTGATCTGATTTCTCTGATTGGAAGGTGTGTCAGGGGCTGAAATTCATGTGTGGGTTCATCACTATGAGCCAGAATCCAAAAGCCAGAGTATGGCATGGAAACACCCAGGATCGCAAACGAAGATGAAATTCAAGACTCAATATTTCGTGGGAAAGGTGATGCTAACCGTTTTTTGGGACTCAAAAATGCCCTTACTCGAAGACCACCTGGAAAAAGGGTGTACGATCACCAGTGCAAGATACAGTGATTTGCTGACCAACAATCTGAAGCCAGGAATTTGCACCAAATGCCGAGGCCTATTGTCGAAGAAAGTGTTATTGTTGCTTGACAATGAACACACACACAAGGACGGCCATACCGTTGAAACCATTAACCATGTGTGTTTCGAGGTGCTGGAACACCCTGCCTACAGCCCAGATCTTGCCCTTTCCGACTATCATCTCTTTGGTCCGCTCAAAGATGTTTTACGAGGTTTTTGATTTTCTACGGACAAAGAAGTGGGGGAAGCGGTGCATAAATGGTTGCGCGACCAACCGAAAACCTTCTTCGTGGAGGAAATACGCAAGCTTTTGGACCGCTGGACCAAGTGCATCGAAAAGGGAGGAGACTATGTAGAAAAATGAAGTACTTGTTCAGCCCCTACTTTTGTATATATGGATTGGAAAAACAACAGTGCGGATAATTTTTGACTTCCCTACGTAGGTTAGTACTCATGGCATACAGTGTGAAGTATATGGTCATTGATATTATTTTTGGTGTATCCTCAATATAAGTGAAGAAAATGAGGCTAATATATTTATATTAAAGGTAAATATTAGTGGAGGGCGAAGACTTGTCTTCCAGATTAGATGTTGACTAGAGATGGAAAGAGTGAATTACCATTTCTTAGCTAGAAGTCACATGTCCACAAACATTCTAGACACTGGTGGTACCCATAATGTCTGATGTAAATTATGTGGCTTTTGAAATTGTTGTCAGTGCATCTTTAACACAGCAAACACAAATTATAAAACATCATGGGGTTGTAGGGAAATTAGTAATGATCTTTTATTCTTTCATTGTGCTGTGAGGTGTGTTTCAGAAATTTTTCTGTAACATGATCAGTATGCCCTGCAGGTACAAAACATCAATAGAAATGAAACATTGCGACCCTTTTTCCTGTTTAGTACTCGGTTTAAGTTCCACCAAGCTCAGCATGCTTCTGCTGTTCATGAGGCAAGTGATGACAGTGTGGTAGTCTGCCCAGACAGCATAGTGAAGCTCCTTTGGAGAAGGAGAATGAAGTACCACCAATAACAAGAGGGTTGGCTGAGGAAATCACCCCATGCTTGCAGCAGGCTTTGCACATCATGAAGAGGGCTGGGTGCAACACTGTTGGGGAAGAAAATGGCAGTATGCTCCACAAGTTCTGGTTGTTTCAAACACAATAGATTGCGCCTCAATCATGTAACAGTGTCATGAAATGTAATGGTTGTAAGAAATGGCATGGGATGGTCAAGCACAGATTTCTGATTTGTGAAGAACATGTCGAAGTAGTCTTTTTCAGCACTTTTGTTAAGATTATGTGGTGGTTTTTGAAAATTACATAAAGGCTTCATCTCCTCAAAGTTCTTATCAGCAGTTTGGTTCCAGCTAAAGCTGGCTGTAACTTGTGTGAATGGTTGTAATACCTGTATGTATGGATTGTTGAATGATAATAAATGATAATGATAATAATGCAGCATTATCATTATCTCAATGCCCAGTTTCCCTCTTTACTTCTTGTTTCATATTCTGTATGTTCTTTGTGATCGTCTTCACACATGATATTACAACTTCTTTCACCAAGGCAATTACAACAATAACAGTAAGGGAACTTTCCAATAGAACCTTGTATTTCTATTAACATGCTAAACTTTAAGGTGCCAGTATCCTGAGGAAATGTTTTTGACATATGTTGCTACAAAAACAATGATCAAAAATACCTAAACTTCCTGTTTCTTTGACCCAGAACAGATTGTTATAATGATCATTGTCTGGTTTGTCACTAATCAACAGGTACAGTATTTCTTTCACTTGCAGCTTGACTAACTATAATAGTCAGTGGTTGAGTTATTTGGCTTTCAGATACAAAACAAACACATACTTACACTTCAGAAATTCAGTGATAGGAATTATTTCTACATTACCACCATACGCTCAGTTTTTTCTCCTGTACTTTTTTTTTTAATTTTCCAGTGTATTCGTATGCAGTCGTGCATTAATGTGACTTATCTCAAATGCACTAAATGTAGAGAACCCTCAAAATAAACAGTTCCCATCTTTGGCAACAGTTTCCACAGATACACTCCATTGATTCACTCTTATATACATTAAGTCACAGTTTTGGCCGCTCAGTAGCTCAAGTGGTTAGTCGCTGGCTTCCCACCGCGGTGGCCCGGGTTCGATCCCGGCTCTGGTCAAGTGGGATTTGTGATGGACAGAGTAGTGCTGGGGCAGGTTTTCTCCGAGTACTTCGGTTTCCCCTGCCAATCTTCATTCCACCAATTGCTCCACAATCACCCTCACCTATCATCTGGGGCTGGTACAATAGGTCAGAAGTGGCCACAGTGCAAGGGACTTAGTCCCACCCGACTAGCAATAAAAAAAAGTCACAGTTTCACTGAATATGCATGCTTTTTCCAATGGAAATTTATTTTTGAGAAATGTTGAGGCTGCAGTGCTGGCTGAAGCATAGGTACTCCCCACTGCTGCCTGAACATCACAGTCATAACTGCTGACATCAGTGACTTCTGGGTAATGATAGAATAAGGACAGAATAAAGACCATGGCATTAGGCTTTTATATATATATGGAAAAATCGTGGGATCAGTTGATTATACTATGCACAGGCTATACGTGATAGGGTGCAAGGAAGCATGTAACTTCATCCATCTCACATAATTTGTTAGTTGGTAACATTCAAATGAACAGATTGGGTCTGTTTTCAAGCGTGTAGGAAAGCTTAGGTTATTTTAAGTCTCAAGTGTTCTTGATTCTTAGGACCCATGAAGAGTTAAATATGAAACAGGAATACTATCCATTTAACCCTTTGGCGTGGTCATTTAAATTCCGCGGCCGCGTCTCCGGCGGTAATATATTCAGCTGGCCATTTAAATTTTGCTCGAAAATGATTTATTCATCATTGTTCTTAAATTCTATGAGATAGGAACATGAAACTTTCACTAAAATGATCTTAAAAGGTGGTTTTATAACCTTACCTTATAATATGAGCGCCCTGTATCTCGGTAATGGAAGCAGGTTGTTTAGTATTTGAGCAGTGAATGGTACGCCTTGAAGNTGGTTAAATGTGTCAGATAAAATGCATAGCCATGTCGAGGAAACAAGATGGGCGCAACATGTAAATGGAGATCTGAGATTGAAGATTTTTTTTGTGAATTTGATTCATGATGTTTTTCTGCAGTAACAGCATGCTGTTTGTAGTATTTAAATAAGTGTGTTGCGGAATGTAACAGAGTGTAATTACATAACATATTAAATGAGGAAATGTCCATACTTGTTACCTTTTAACTCCCCTTTAAGGACTACTGAGTTTCTCAAATTGCGGAGAATACAGTTTTTATGCTGTGTGTTCCCTGGTTCATGCAGATGAACTGCAAGCTGTTTGCATTTGACAAAGCCACTGGCACATGGGTGGAGCTTGGACGAGGCACTCTTCGGCTCAATGACAAAGATGGTGGATCGGGAGGTGGTGGAGTTCAGTCACGAGTTGTGATAAGGGCAACAGGAAGTCTCAGGGTTGTGCTGAACACAAAGGTATTTCAGTCATAAATATGAGTACCATGTTGTATTTTCTGATATATGATAAGTTTATTATACTACTCTAGACAGCCAGTGCTTTCACATAACTCTTTACAGATCCAAGTCACAAGTAAGTAAGAAAGATAAACTGTCACAAATCATAAAATTGCCATCACACAGTCTTATAATGTGAAACTTTCTTCCTCTTTGTTTCATACTACCCTGTAGATAACACATGTCTTATTCAATTACATGTTTGGCCTTTAGAAGGTCATTACATGGCCATACCTATTGTATGTATCTTAAACTGCTGTTTTATACTTGCATATACATGTGTGCTATTGAATTGAATTGAATTGAATTTATTTACATTCTATAAATCCTAAGCAGGTTAGTACCTTTGGATACAGAACAAGTCAAAAGGTTACATACATAAGTACAGGCAATTTTAGCTTAAAAATTAATATAACTTAATTTTACATCATTCTCTATTTACATTGAAGTATTCATCTAAAGAGTAGAAGGAATGAGCATGTAGATAATTCTTTAACTCTGATTTAAACTTTTTAGTATCATTGCCCAAGTTTTTAATACTTTGTGGCAGATTGTTGAACACTTTTATGCCAGTAAAGTAGACTCCTTTTTGATATAC